TCACCCAGAACTTGACGAGGAAGAAGGCGTTGGGCGGCCCCTTCTCGTAGAGCTCCTTCAGCCCGCCCTTCTTCTCGGGGAACTTGTCGTAGATCTGGCGCACGTCCACAGCCTCCAGGGGCGGGTCTGAGAAGGCGGGGTTTGTCTGGCCGATGTGCACAAACAGGTGTTTGCTGTACTGTGGGGGGACCCAGACAGGGTCAGGGGAGCACCTGGGAGAGGCCGCTGCACAGGCCAGTACTGCCCTGTGGCCTCCTGCACCCCCCCGGCTCGAGCCGTGGTCCGGGTCCACGCTGCCAGCTTCCCCGGGGCTGCGCGAATCCTCACCCCTCCTCTCCCCACGTGTTACCGTGTCAGGGTCTCGCTGCACCTCCATGAAGGCTGAGTACTCCAGGAGCCGCAGCCGGGAGGAGGCGATGGTGCGGTCCTGCCACACGGGCACGGAGGCAGCGGCTGGGGGCAGCGGGGCCAGGGGCTCATAGCCTGGGAGGGCGAAAGGGAGCCTCGTCTGCATGGGTGCATGCTCGTGCTTGCTGACAAAGCTGCCCGGCCTGCCCCCTTTTGGGTGGGCTGGGGTTGCCTTGGGGTCCCCATCTGGCGTCCGTGTAAAGGGCACAACCTGCACAATCGCATGTGATGGCCCTAGTGGTACACACCGAAGACAGTTTCCTTGTGTCACTAGTTTTTACTTTTGAGACAGGGTCTCACCCTGTTGCCCAGGCTGGAGTGCAGTGGCACCATCATAGCTCACTGCTGCCTCAAACTCCATGGGCTCAAGCAATCCTCCCACCTCTACTTCCCAGCTGAGACTACAGACACCACCACACCGATATATATATGTTGTTGTTGTTGTTTTTAGTTGGAGTCTCACTCTTTTGCCCAAGCTAGAGTGAATGGCACACACACTCACAGCCACCCCGGTGTCGACCTTCTGGGCTCCAATGATCCTTCTGCCTCAGCCTTCTGAATAGCCAGAACTACAGATGCGCGCTTCCACGCCCAGTTATTTTTAATTTTTATTGTAGAGACAAGGTCTTACCAAGTTGCCCAGCTGGTCTCGAACCTGTGGGCTCAGGCAATCCACTCGCCTCAGCCTCCCAAAATGCTGGGATTACAGGCTGAGCCACCAAGCCTGGCCAAGGTAATTTTTTAAGTTATTTTTTGTAGAGCTGGGGGATCTTGCTATATTTCCTGGACTGATCTCGAACTCTTGGGCTCAAGTGATCCTCCCGCCTCGGCCTCCCAAAGTGCTGGGATTACAGGCACAAGCCATCGTGCTCAGCCTTAATTCCTTGTGTTCCTATTAATGAGTGTTTAAACAGAAAACACAGAGAAGGAAAAAGGGGTAATAACAACTACCCAGAATTCCAGCATCTAGAGAGAGTAAAGCCCTGTTAAGACTCTGGTCCATTTCCTTACAAGGAGTTTTCTACCCACAGAGACATAGAAACGTGGTACTTTGGTGGTGTGTGGCGTGGCTGTGTATAGCCCATGGTTTTGTGCCAGGGTTCTGGAAACAACACTGTCTGAGGTAAAACCGTCCCAACCCCCTTTAGATGCCACCTCCGCTTCCCTCCCAACACACACACACACACACACACAGATGGGTCCCAGCTCCCCTGTGCAGGGCTAGGGGCCAAGGAACAGCGAGGTGGTGGTGGCCTCTGGTGGGAAACTTACTGCTGAGCGTGGGCGGCAGGGGCGGCTGGATGGGGTAGGCGGGCTGTGCAAAGGGCTTGATGCTGCAGGAAGGAGCACACCTGGTTAGAGGGACCCTTTCTCTCCCTCGTCCACCCAGGACCCCAGGAGGAGGCCACCCAGCCTTTCTGTGGAGGCCCAGAGACGTACTGCCAAGATGCTCTTGGCTTTTTGTGTTCCTCACGTTTGAGCTTTCATGAACTCAGCTGCAACCCACAGCCAGTGTGCACATTTTTTTATTTTTTATTTTTTTTTGAGTTGGAGTCTCACTCTGTCGCCCAGACTGGAGTTCAGTGGCCGCTCCCGGCCACTGCAGCCTCGACCTGCTGGGCTCCGGCGATCCTTCTGCCTCAGCCTTCCAAGTAGTCGGAATTACAGGCGTGCGCTACCATGCCCGGCTGATTTTTTTTTTTATTTCTTGTAGAGATGAGGTCTCGCCGTCCAGGCGGGTCTCGAACCCGCGGGCTCAGGCAATCCACTCACCTCAGCCTCCCAAAGGCGCGGGATTACAGGCTGAGCCACTGAGCCCGGCCAGTGAGCACATTTAATGCAGTGTTGCGACCCTCCTTCCCGCCCAGCCTAGAGTGTGCCGTCCCATGAAGGCTGTCTTCAACAGCATCCCTGTCTGCCGACTCGGTAGAGCACTGGCCTAGGAGATGCACACAGTAAAAAGTCAACGTGGGCAGCTGGTGGGCAAGATGCTGTGAGGGACTGCCCAGGAGGAGCAGACAGTGCCCACCCACGCGCCCCAGCCCTCTATTTCTGAATGAAAGCTTAGCTCAGCTGTGGTTGGAACCCAGACGGAGGGGGAAGCCCAGCGGGCTGCCAGGAAGAGGGCACGTGGGAAGACGAGCTGGAATACTCACTCCTGAGAGGGTCCTGGCTGCTGTCCTAGGAGGGGGGCGCTGCTCCAGAACTGCAGGGGGGACAAAGCCAGGGGACTTCAGTGGCCAGGAACCCCGCAGGAGCCCGCTTTGTCTGGCACGCCCCCACCTCAGTCCCCCGAGGAACCCTGCAGGAGCTCGCCCTGCATGCACACCCCTCCCCAGCCCCACCAGGAACCCCACGGGAGCCTGCTCTGCACACACAGCCAGCCCCAGCCCACCTCCCAGGACCCCTGTACCCGCGAGGAAGTGGAGAAGACGGCCTGGGGCAGAGGGGAGGGCGGGCTGAACTTGTTCTGCAGGACGCTGGCCGAGACGATCTGGGCGGAGGACATGGATGCCATGCTCTGGAGGGCCTTGTCCTTGGAGACCTGGTCCTGGGGGTGGCGGGCATGTGTGAGGCCTGGGAGTCCAGGTCTGGATTCCAGCTCTGCTGTGTGGTCTTGGGAAAGTGTCTACCCCTCTCTGGCCTCAGTCTCCTAAGTATGTATCACCTCTGACCACCACCCATGGCAGAAATCATTTTATTTTACCCCGCAGCTGGGCACATGCCAAGATATCTCCTGTCACTGTGTCACACTCTCCTATGCTGTTTCATCAGTGTTTCTCAAGGTGTGGTCCTTGGACCAATACCAGCGACACCCCGGGAAAGTGCTGGAAAGATGCATCTCCACGCCCTTGCCCGGAAGAGTCGGAAACCCCGAGGGTGAGGCCCAGAGCCTGCTCTAGCCAGCCCTCTGGGGGATTCTGATGTGCACCCAAGGTGGAGAACCGCCCTAGTTCATTTTTTAAAATGCTGCTTGCAAACCTATTGGGCTGAGCTCCCCGTCTGTGCGGTGCACACCCTGGATGAGGTACTCTCTGAGACCCTTCCTCCCCACCCCAGGGGCGGGGCAGTGACACTTACCAGGTTCATGGCCTGTAAGGAGAGGGAGGAGGGTTAGAAAAGATGTGCCCGTGGGCCACGGGTGGGGGCGTGGCTTTCACCTACCCCCACCCAGCGCCCACCCAGCTTTTAGCCTCTGAGGAGCCCAAGGAAGCCTAGAGGTAGCTGTGGACCCGTCCTGTCCCAAGGGGAGTGCTTGCCAGCTGGGGACCAAGTCCTGGGAAGGGTAGGACGGAGGAGGAGCAGGTGGGCACACTGGGTCTATTCATGTCTTCAGGAGCTGAGGCATCAGGGGCTGGGACAACTGTGAGAAGTGCACCTGCCAGCACGGGGCCCTGACTCTCAGAGCCTCCTCGGCAGAGCAGCCAGGGCTGCAAGGGACTGCCAAGCCTAGCTCTACAGCCCTGCTGGCTGACGCCCTCCCCGCCAAAGCACCTCCTCCCTGTCCACCTGAAGTCCCCATGCAGTGAGTAAGCAGCAGTCAGGAGGAAGGAGAAAAAGAAAAGAAAAATGAAGAAGAGGAGAGGCGGTCCCCAGTCTGCCTCTCCCCCGCTGTAGGGCTGGCTATCCGCTTGGGCCCGTTCAGTCTCCAGGGACTGTGGCCTGACGCAGCCCCTGGGCGTCCTGCTGCTGTCTCTGTGGCTAAGACCTCCACACAACATCTGAGCCCCGTCCCTGCCCCAGGCAGGAGGGTGCGGGTGTGGCCAGGCCACGTGGCAGGGGGCCCCATACCTTCAGCTTGGACTGAACCTCCCGAGATTTCCGCCTGGCTAGAACCTGCAAGTGGCTAGAGACCTGGAGAGAGAGAGAGAGAGAGAAAGAGCAGAAAGAGCCGAAAGAGCAGGAGGAGGCAAGAACAGAGCCAGCCAGAAAAGAGGCGCAGTGGGCCGAGAGCCAGCAGAGGCCTGGACCGTGCAGAGAGCCGTGGAGGCGCCGTGGGCCAGGGGCCCCGGAGGGGCAGGAGGCCCAGGCAGGCGCCCAACGTACCTTGATGCCAACCTGGTACTCCCGCACCTTCTTCCGAGCTAGAACCTGTATGTGGCTGGACACCTAGGGGCCGCCCCGCGCCCCGCCAGAGAGGAAAACACAGACAGTGAGGAGGCACAGCCGTGGGGTGGCCATGGCCAAGGAGTATCCCAGCCCACCTCTCTGGGGGACCTAGAGTAAATGGAGGGATCTCGGGGACCCCTGTGGGCAGAAATCTCTTGATATTGCTGATTCTGCCCTCTTCTTGGCCTTCTCTTGACAAAAACCTACGGTGGCTTCCAGGGCCATCACGTACAGTTGTGTAGGTTATTCATTGCCAAGATATCTGACCCAGAGGGCACTAGCGAGGGCTGTGATACAGCCAAGTTCTGCCGGCCAAGCTATGTGTCTTGGTACAAGGCTGCACCTAACCCAGAGGAAGGGTGTCTTCCCATACCCCACCAAAAAAAGGAAAAAAAAAGCCTTTTTCTCACTGGCGTCCTCAGAGGAGATACCTTTTTCTAGTTGGCACCATAGAGGCTAGCAATGGCCACAAAGCGTCAAGGGGCCATTAGATTATACATCAAGGGCACGTCCTCTACCAAAGCTCTCCCCCTGGCCCACTGCCTCGGTCCTGTCAACCCTGCAACCCAGCCCAGAAAGCCAGGCCTGGGCTGGGCACAGCGGCTCACGCCTATAATCCCAGCACTTTGGGAGGCTGAGGTGAGAGGATTGCCTGAGCCCATGGGTTTGAGACCAGCCTGGGTAACTTGGTGAGACCTCATCTCTACAATAAATAACAAACTAGCCGGGCATAGTGGTGCCTGTAGTTCCAGCTGCTTGGAAGGCTGAGGTGGAAGGATCACCTGAGCTTAGCAGGTTGAGGCTGCGGTGGCTGTGAGCGTGCTGCTGCACTCCGGCCTGGGCGACAGAGTGAGACTCTGACTCAAAAAAAAAGAAAACCCGGTTCGGTTCTCCTGCTGTGTTCGTGTAGCTTCTTCCCCCAGCATGTCTCCCTTCTCCTTGGACTGATGTATGCCAGTGTATACATGTACACAGTAGATACTCTTAATTGCATTTCTTCCCAAAAACCTCCTCCCTGAAGCCTCCGCTGGCAAATCTGAGCTGACCGCTGTGGGGATGTGTATACCCTGGGTAATGCACCTAACTCACTCAACAGACCCCTGACGTTGTCAAGGACCTAACCCTGAGCCAGAGAGAACCCACATGCCACTGTCTCCCCAGGCAGCCCCAGGAGACACCCAGTTCTCAGGCCCTCCAGGCTGTTTCACACTCACGGTGTCCACAATGGCTGTTGCTTTTCTTTGCAAGTCGTTTTAATCCCACAGAGAAACAGCTTATTTTTCTTTTCTTCTTTTTTGTTTTTTTTTAGGTTCAAGTCTCACTCTGTCGCCCAGGCTGGAGTGCAGCGGCACGCTCATGGCCACCGCAGCCTTGACCAGCTGGGCTCAGGCGATCCTTCCGTCTCAGCCTTCCAATTAGCTGGAACTACAGGTGCATGCCACCATGCCTCGCTAATTTTTTGATTTATTATAGAGACAAGGTCTCACCATGTTGCCCAGGCTGAACCCCTGGGCTCAGGCAATCCTCTTGCCTCCCTCCCAAAGTGCTGGGATTACAGGCCTCAGTCACTGCTGGCTCTTTCTTCTTCTTCTTCTTCTTTTGTGTCAGGATCTTGCTCTGTTGCCCAGGCTGGAGTGCAGTGGCACAATCACAGTTCACTGCAGCTCCGATCTTTTGGGTTCAAGGGATTCTCCTACCTCAGACTCCCTAAATGCTAGGATTACAGGTATGAGCCACTGTGCTCGCCCCTTTTTCTTTTCTCTTTTTATTCTGAGTTGGAGTCTTGCTCTGCCATCCAGGCTGGAGTGCAGTGGCACAGTCACAGCTCACAGCAGCCTTGACCTTCAGGGCACGGGTGATCCTTCCACCTCAGCCTTCCAAGTAGCTGGAACTACAGGCGCACGCCACCACACTTGGCTAATTGTTTGATATTGTTGTGGAGACGAGGTCTTGCTATGTTGCCCAGGCTGGTCTCGAACTCCTGGACTCAAGCAATCCTCCCTCCTCAGCCTCCCAAAGTGCTGGAATTACAGCACTTTTCTTTTTCTTTTTAATGACAGCCTGAAAGTGACTCTGTGTGGATGCTGGGAAGTCCCACACTTGGTTAGGACCCGGGTGAGTGCTGCTCACGCTGCTCCACCACACCCAGGAATCAGATTTTCGTCCAGCAGAATGACTGATCACTCTATGCAGTGACAATAACTAGCGTTTACTGAGTACGGACGCTATCGTGCTCAGCACTTTCAACGCACCAACTCATTTCATCTTTGCAGCAACATTGTAAAACAGGTACTAATATCCCCGACTTACAGATGACAAAACCAAACACAGAGAGGTCAAGCTACTTATCCGAGATCACACAGTTGGATGGGACCAAATGCAGTGGTCTGACTCCAGAGCCTGTCTGCTTCACCACCAAGCTCTGCTACCAGGACCTCAGCACAGAAGATGCCCCCAAACGCTCGGCTCTGTGACAGCTAAACGCCCCCATAACTAAGCCAATTCAGTATCCAGCTGCTTTGTCAACACAGAGACATCGTACCTGCCTTCGGTGTTGCTGCGTGTATCTGTAAACAATGAAAACTGCATTTTTTTGCCCAAAGTAAAATTTGTAAAAGTTAGAAAAAGACCAAAAAACCCGTGACAGCGGGTTGCTCTTTGCAATACCCAAAGACATGCCTGTCCTCACAACCACAGGACGGGCTCCTTTTATGGGGATATTAGCTCTTCAGGCTCAGAGTAGTGAGGAAGTCAGGTAAGCAGGAGTCCCACCCTCACCCCCACGATGAAGTCCAGTGTTTTTAAACGTCTGAGCTTGTCACAGCCGGTCTGTAAAAGCTCGTTGTCCCAGCAGCCTTCTCAGGATGCGGCACGGGGATAGCACGCTGGTGGGCCCAGAATGAAGAGGCTGGAATGGGCTCTTCACCCTGCTCTGATAAACAAGTTCTGTCCTGGAAGAAGCAAGACTTGCTGAGAGCTCCCCTCTGAGTCCAGAACAGCTTTCTGTTTATTTCTTCATTTTTATTATTATTATTTTTTGGAGTTGGAGTCTCACTCTGTCACCCAGGCTGGAGTGCAGTGGCACGCCCATGGCCACTGCAGCCTCGGCCTAGTGGGCTCTGGCGATCCTTCCACCCGCCTTCCAAGTACCTGGGATTACAGGCGCGAGCCACCACGCCCAGCGAATTTTTTGATTTATGGTAGAGACGAGGTCTCACCAAGCTGGCGGGCTCAAAACCCTAGGCTCAGGCAATCCTCTTGCCTCCACCTCCCAACGTGCTGGGATTACAGGTGTGAGCCACTGCGACTGTGCCTGGCAGCTTCCTGCTTATCACGATGACAGTAACAATCACACTAGCAACAGCAGATTTGTAGACAGCGCTTGCTCTGTCCTAAGTGTCTTCACATATTAACGAATTCAATGGAGCCAGCGTGGTGATGCATACTTGTAAACTTGGGAGGCTGAGGCGGGAGGATTGCTTGAGGCCAGGAGTTTGAGGCCTGGGCAATGTAACCAGACCTTGGCTTATTTAAAAGAGGGGGGAAATTTTGGCTGAGGAACCACAAATGGGAGGTGAACTCTCCCCTGCCCACCTCTAGCCCCTGCAGTAGAGGTCGCATTTGAACCCAGGGGTCTGATCTCTGAGTCTGCGTTCTTTTTTGTTAGTCTGCTTTTGCTTCTTCTTTTTATTCTCGAGTCTGTGTTCTTAACTATCAGGCACTGTTCCTCCCATAGCCCCAGGCTGGTGCCCAGAACATAGTAGCAGCTCAATAATTTGCTAAATGACGAAACGCCGTACTACATGAGTTGAGCCAGGGAGATGGTTAATAAGTGCTTGAACAAACGCGGGATTGTTTCCACTCCCACATGGGGTGCGGAGACTAGAACCTTCCTTCAAGACGGAGGTGGGACAGGCCAGGCTTGTCATCCGCACCCACAGGGATCTTTGTGCTCCAAGTCCTTCCTGGACAGGGAGTCTAGGGGGCAGGGGGTCAGAGCTGGCCTCCCATCCTTCAGGTCCCTGCTTCCAGCCCAGGCTCTCTCCCAGGCACCCAGAGGCCACTTCCCCTCAGGTTTCTGTCACCATGGTGCCACCTTCCACTTTGCTCCATCTTTATCACCACTCCCCTCGGCCCAGGGTCTAACACTGTTGAGCAAGGCTTCTGTCCACGTCTCCACAGCTAGCTTCCCTGCCCCCACTGGCCCTCTCTAATCCACTGTCCCAGCTGTTCCAGGCCCACCACACGACTGGCCAGCTGCCACCCACCCTGTCCTGCTGCATACCCTCCCGTGGCACCGGTTGTCCCAGGGGATCCTGTCCCCCCTCACCTCTCACAGTGCTCCCCACCCTCCTCCACCACACTGTTCTTCCTGCCCCCGGGGGGGGTGGAATCCTGGATCCGCTGACCTCCAGGAAGTCACCTAACTTCCTCATGCCTCAGCCTCCTCCTGGTAAAGGAAGATAGTGACTGTACCCACCTTATGAGGTTGTTGATCTGACTATATACACAGACACCAAGTGAGTACACATGGGGTTACAGTAATTATTACTTATATATCCAACTTCCTCAGCCTGGAGGGAAGGGTCCTCTCCCTCTTCTTTTCCCACCGAGTTGGCATGAGTTGGCATCTCAAGACAGTGCCCAGGCTGCAGTACAGTGGCACGCTTGCAGTCACCCCTGGGCTGCAGTCGACCTGCTGGGCTCTGGCGATCCTTCTGTCTCAGCCTTCCAAGTAGCCAGAACTACAGGCGTGTGCTACTACACCCAGCTAATTTTTTAATTTACTGTAGAGACAAGGGCTTGCCTAGTTGCCCGGACTGGTCTCGAACCCGCGGGCTCAGGCAATCCACTTGCCTTGGCCTCCCAAAGTGCTGGGATTACAGGCTGAGCCACAGAGCCCAGCCTCATTCCTTCTTTTTTTCTGAGTTGGGATCTCCCTCTGTTGCCCAGGGTGGAGAGCAATGGCATGATGATGGCTCACCACAATCTCAAACTCGTGGGCACAAGTGATCCTCCCACCTCCGCCTCCTGAGTAGCTGGAACTACAGGTACGTACCACCACACCTGGCTAACTTATTTATTTATTTATTTGTAGTGACGAGGTCTTGGTGTTGCCCAGGCTGGTCTCGAACTCCTGGGCTCAAGCAATCCTCCTGCCTCAGTCTCCCAAAGTACTGGGATCACAAGGTGAGCCACTGCACCTGGCCCCATTCCTTCTCAATGTCACCTCTTCCAGGAGTCTTCCTAGTGCTCCCCCCTCCACCCACAGCCTGGTGTAGGTTAGACACACTGTCTGGCAGTGCCCTACACACACTCCTCCCCAGACATGCCACCCTGCTCCGTACTTATCTGTCTGACTGCTGGGATCCCTGGCTGGTAGTGGGCTATTCAGGGTAGGGACCAGACTGTCCCGTGGGCTTCTCTGTGGTCCTTGAACCAAGGCCTTGGGCGGGTTGATGGGTCAGAGAGGCCCGTCTCGCCAAGAGAGGTGGGAAGAATGGGCGGAGCTGCTGGGGGCTGGGGCAAGGAGGGCAGCTCCCAGAAGGTGGGCAGGGTGCGAGGGGCTGGGTGGACACAGGGATGGGCAGCGGCGCCCAACATGCATCGTCTCTTTACCTGTTTCCTCGTCCGGGTCTTCCCCGTCCTCAACTTAATGTAGCGAGCGATCAACTCATTTCGACCTAGATTGGGGGGGAGAGAAACAACGAGGAGTGGGCAAAGGCTGGAGTTGGGGGCTGGCAACCCCCAGGAAGGCACCCGGGCCCCTCCCCTGAGGCTGCTGTTTCCCCTACTGTCTTTGCTCCACACCCCCAGGCAGCATAAGCAGGGCCAACAAACACGTGGGGGGGGACGACACTCCCCTCACTGCCTCCAGGACCTGGGGCACTCATCAGGGCAGGTGAGAGGGGCCGCGGGTAGGAGGAAGGAAGAGCCCTGTCAGGCTCCCCTGCAGACAGACAGGGCAGGTGTGGCCAGTCCACAACAGGACAGCGGGTGGGGGGCCTGTGCTGGCATGGCCCCGGTCACTCCAGCCCTCCATAGGGCTCCTGCCAGTGACACCAGCTCCAGGCTCTGAGTGTGTGTGTGTTTGTGGGGGTATGAATGAGCCCTGCCCCAGGGGGACGTCCTGCCCTAGCTCTGTCCTTCCACAGGGATACCCTGGACAAGTCCCTTCCCTCTCTAGGGAAGGGCAGGAAGGACTGATAGCCTCTAATGTACCTCCTACACTGACAGCCTGTGTCAAGATGTGTCACTGAGCACGTCACCGTGTCCCTGTGCCTGTCATCCCCATGTCACTGGGTACCAGTACCTCTCCCGCCCTGTGAGACTCCCTGGGGGTGGGGGCTCTGCTCAGCGTCCAGGCCTCAGCCCTACGAGGGGCACTTGGACCCCAAGGCTGGACGTACACCAGCACCCTCAGGGGGTGCGGCTCTACCCCCCAGATCCAGGCCCTCTGTCCCCCAACCCCATGGCCTCCCCAGAACAGCCAAATTCTCCAAATTCCTCTGTGATGACAGAACCAGCCCCACGGCTCCTCCTCCCTGTGGCCCCTTTCCCCACTCCCTCCACCCTGTCTAAAAATACCCTGTGGGGCTGCCCCGGCCACCTGAGAGGCAGAAGGGGGACAGCTGGCCCTCTCCTAGGAGGGGCGCCCTGGGACAGCCTCCTGTGGCCAAAGTGGGGTTCTGGGGCTCGGGGGGGTGGCAAAGGCGGTGGGGTCTGGGGACCGGGCAGCCCCTGCCACACAGCCCTGGTCCTGGATGCTGGAAGGAAGGGTGGTGGCCTACAGCACTGAGCCACAGGCTGCTGCAGAGACTGGGGAGCGGCCAAGGACCCAGGCCCAGGGGGTCAAATGATCCCAAACATGAATCTCTGGGAGAGCCCTCTCAGGGCCAGACAAGAGGGGAGTCCCGCTCCCTTCTGAGGTGGCCAAGATGGCAAAGAGAGAGGCAGGAAAACAGCACAGACGGGGGAGGGGTCTGAGGAACGGACACATCCCCAGGGCCCTCCAGCGGCTGCCCCACACGGGCCTTTGTCAGTGTCACCCCCTTCACCCGCAGGAACTGTGATGGGACGCCACGAGGCGAGGGGACCCTCTCTCGGACCTTGCCTGGGGCAGACTAGACTGACCCAGTTTCCTGGGCTCACTGAGTCACCCGAAACCTCCAGGCCAGCTGGGGGGGAGGAGAGGCAGGGCGGGCGGGGGCGCAGAGGTGTGGGCTGCGCTCTGGGGGGGGAGCCTGGCTTGTTTATGAGGAGGATCCAGACACACAGGCCTGCACGCCCAGACTCGCCGGGGCGGGCGGGCAGGCGGGCGGGCGGCTGGCTCGGACTTCCCGAACCGGTCGGGTGAGGGGCAGAGGGCAGGGGGCGGGCGGCCCAGCGCATGCACGCACGCACCGTACATCTTGCCCTCGTCTGACAGGATGATCTTGCGCCGGCCGCAGGGCGGGTAGATGGCCAGCGCCTCCTGGAAGCTCTGCTCGATGTCGGGGCTCCACACGCCCTCCGCATCATTGTCCAGCCCTTTGTCCAGGCCCTCGGGCCCATCCTCCCGGGCCTCCCCGGGACTGCTGCTGGCGTTCCAGCTGTTGGACGCTATGGTGCTGGTTGCTCTGGGCTCCGGGCCTGAGCCCACGGGGCAGCTGGAGCCTGGGGGCCAGACGCAGAGGGGTTAGGGCCGCGGTCCTCCCCACCACAGCATCTCCCCCCACAGCTCCCACCCCACTCCTGGGGCAGTGCTCCTGGGGGGGGGAGGTAACCAGGGGTGACGCTTATTTGGAGCTGGGTGGCCTCTGACGAGCTAGCTAGTTCACCTCTTGGAGCCTTGGTCCTGTAAAATAAGGAAAGCGTCTCCTTGAGGTTGTGAGGACCAAAACTTAAATGAGATCAGGACAAAGTACCAGCCACGAGGCCGGACTCATAACACTCGAGAAAACGGGAGATCAGGCCAGGTGCGGTGGCTCACACCTGTCATGCCAGTACCTTGGGAGGCCAAGGCAGAAGGATCGCTTGAGGCCAGGAGTTCAAGACCAACATAGCAAGAACCCCCATCTCTTAAAAAAAGGTAGTAATCAATAACAACAACAATAATACTTTACACCAACACAGCAATTTTGTAGGGAAAAGGCATTTTCTTTTTTTTTTAGTTGGAGTCTCACTCTGTTGCCCAGACTGGAGTGCAGTGGCCGCTCCCAGCCAACGCAGTCTCGACCTGCTGGGCGCCGGCGATCCTTCCGCCTCAGCCTTCCAAGTAGCCAGAATTACAGGCGCACGCTACCACGCCCGGCTGATTTTTTGATTTATTGTAGAGATGAGGTCTTGCTGCCCAGGTGGGTCTCGAACCCGCGGGCTCAAGGCAATCCACTCACCTCAGCCTCCCAAAGGCGCGGGATGACAGGCTGAGCCACCGAGCCCGCTGGAAAAGGCAGTTTCACATCCACTCAATCCTCACCAACGAAAGCTGGGAAGGCAAAGGAGCGATGATGCCCTTTACTCAGAGAGGAAGACCGAGGCTCCCAAGCTCATGCATCTGCTAAAGGCATCATGATGCGCAAAAGGGCGAACCCAGGGGCAGGGCTAGGCTACTGAGGCTCTCAGGGGGGCTCTTCACTCTTGCCCTGGCCACCCCACCACCCTGGCGTCCAGATCCTCCACCAGGGAACCCCCCCATCCGCGTCCAGCATCGACGCAGCCCTACTGAGGACCCCTTGTGGGATGAGGAGGTCCCTGGCCCAGGAAGGGCATGGCTTCACCTCCCCCAGGTAGGTAACAGCCAAGGAACCTCCACAAGAGGCAGGATCTGCCTAGAATTACAGAGCGGAGGCGCCGGCAGGGGAGACGGGAGAGGGTGCCTGGTCAGCCGTCCCGGCTCAGCCCCAGCCACCCCTGCCTCCTACTTCCTGTTCCCGCACCTCCCTGGCCCACAGCAGCCCGTAACCCAGCCATGTACCCGCCCCTGCCCTGGCCCACATGGGAGAGGGGCCAGGGTTCTGTAAACTGTGGGTCATATTTAGACCACAGCCCACCAAGGCCCCCTCCACTCACAGCCCCAAGGCTCACCCCGAAACCCCTTCACCCTCAGAACCCGCGTGCCCAATGACTCCAGGTCCTGGGAGGCTTACAGTCCGTGGTGGCTCGATCCTGGGACTTAACTCTGGGCAGCAGAGAAAGTGGGGGGCAGGGGAGTGGGTGGGGGGGACCCCGTCAGAAGCCAGGGAGTGGAATAGGAACTCCAGGTTCAGCCACATGGGTGGGGGTGGGCTTCTCCCTGGGGAGGCATCTGTCTGCTTAATGGAAGCCTGAGAGGGTCACTAGTAGAATGGGGTGGGAAGGGCCTGGGGGCCTTGAGTGTCAGAAAGACAGCAAGTGTCTGCCATACACCAGGCCCTGTTCAGGGATTTTACATATCTTCACTCACCTAACCCTCAAAATAACCCTATGGGGCAGACACTACTCTTATTTCTATTTTATTGATGAGGAATCCAAGAAACAGAGAGGTTAAGCAACCTGCCCAAGGGCACACAGCAAGTAAGTGCTAGAGCTGGGTTCTGAACCCAGGGAGTCTGGCTTCAGTTTCCTAACCCGTAGGAAAAGGGGAGGGGCTGATCCTGAAAGGAGGCCCAGCTGCCATGGCAACTGCCCCAAGTCTGCCCAGACCAGGGGGTCCCCTCAGCCCAAGCATGGGCAGTAACCTCAAGAACCCCCACACTGCTCTACAGCCCTTTCTGTGAAGCCTCCGAGACCACTAGGAATCTCTCTCCCTCAATCAGTGCCAGGGAGAGAGAGGAAGCTGCCCAACTGACCAGAGAGGCCTGACTCCCTATCCCCAAGCTGTCCTCCACCCCAGGAAACCGCATCTGGGTCTTGGAGTGGACGTATGAAGGGATGGAGGGGACACGGGAGGGGACCCAGGGACCCTCATGTCAAAGCCGTCGGGAGGCGGGTCTCCCCCAGGCACCCATCTGAGGCTGCCATGGGGCTCAAAGGGAATGGAGAAACTGGGCTACAATGAGCGAAGACCCTCCCCACAGATCCGCCACCCATTCCCCCAGATCCTGGCGAGGCCTCCCTCGGAGCAGCAGGGGCCCAGGCAGGCTTTTAAAGCAACTCTCCTGCCTCCCCCAAGTCTCTGCCTGCCTCCCCTCATCCAGGCTGTGCCCCCCCTTCTTGGGGTGATGTCAGCCCCGCCCCGCCCCCCGCGGGAGCACTGTGGCCAAATATGGCGAACACAGCAGCAGGCCTGGGAGCTGGGACAGACTGGGGGGGCGGGGCGGGCGGCCCCTGGCTGGGACTGTTGGCAGCTGGCGAGGGGGAGGGGAGCTGAGGGGGCGGCCCAAAGGACGCGTCAAGGAGAAAAGAGGACCACAGGCCAGGCTCACTTTCTAGGAAGGCTCCCCGGGGCAGAGGTGCCAACACGGGGCCCGCAGGTGGCACCTGGTACGTAACCATGCACAGAAGCACACGTGTGCAAGCATGCTGTGGGAGAGTATGTGCGCCCCGAGCCCAGGTACACACACGCACAACTGCAGGCAGGCACTGCCCAGGCCAGGAGCTGGACGCGGGTCTCAGGAGGCAGTAGGAGGCGTGACACTGGCTGCTCTGTCCTCCCAGAGTGAGTGCTCTGAGGACAGACCAGCGTGCGCCCATCCCCTCTCCCTAGACCCCACAGACCACTGGGACCCCATGGGGGTAAGAAAGGAGGCCACGGACAACTCCCTGGATAGAGGCAGGCTAGCTGGGCAAAGGTGGGGCTCAGGCTTGGTGGAGGCGTGAGAAACTAGAGCGGGGCTGGGGGGGCGAGAGGAGAGGCGCCAGGGAAGGCAGCTACAGGGCTGCTCGATGGGGCTCACCTGGGTGTCTAGAATCCTGCCTTGCCCCCAAGAGGGGGAGGGGAGGGAGAAGACCTAAGAGGGGGCACGGGGTGGAGCCTGAGACAGACAGGAGGAGGGAGAGAGAGAGAGAGAGAGAGAGAGAGAGAGAGAGAGCGCGCTCGCGCGGCGGAGGGGGGAGAGAGGCTGGGGCTGGGGCAAAGCAGGGGTAGGAGATGGACCCAGAGGCGAGAAAACAGACAAGACAGACAGGAGGGCTCAGAGAGTGGGAGACAAAAGAGACCAACCCAGCCGGAGTCAGTCAGAGACCTAGAGCCTGCCCGGGAGAGACCCAGCGAGAGACAGAGCAGACCAGGAGTGCTGGAGAGAGTCAGACCCCTGGACAGACAGACAGAGCTGGCAGGGTGAGGAGGAGGGAAGCAGAAAGACCGCAATCAACAAAGACCCAGAAAGACAGAGACAGAGATCCAGAGAGATGGAGACACACAGCAGAGAGAGTGGAGGGGGTAGGAAGGGGAAAGACCAAGAGCTTCAGATAGCCAGGGAGGCGGCCAGGGAGGACCAGGAGAGAGAGGGCCAAAGAGAGACCCAGAAGCCGAGGCAGACTAGCGGGAGGGAGTGACAATGAGGGCTGGTCACATAGGGCCACGTCCAGGACATCCCCACTCCTGTCCCAGGGCTCCGACCCTCCACCTCCTCACAGGACACCTCCCATCTGCCTATGAGGAGGGGCCCTGGTATGATACGTTCTGCGAACCCACCAGCAGACTGCAGACCCCCTGCTGGACTCAGCCCACCTTCACCCTCAGCCTGACGGGCCACACCTACTTCCCCTCTCCCGGGTCCCTCAGCCTGCGGGCTTCAAAGGCCTCCGGCTGGAGGCAGGGATGGGGGCTAGGAGGCTAGGTGAGCAGGCTCTGAGGCCCTGGGGGAGATAAGGGGCACCCTACCGTCCACTCCCCACCCTGGGGCCAGTCCTGCCGGAAGAACTGGCTGGACAGCTCCAGGGATCCAGCCACAGCTGGGGCCACTGCAGAGGCCCTGGTTCCCACCCCCACAGGCCTGCAGCCTCCAGACCACCCAGCTGAGGGGCCTGAAGCGTGGGCTCCCCCAGAGCGTGGGGGACACAGCATGGGCTCCCCCAGAGCTGCTGCCCTGGCAGGAGGGCACAGACAAAGCAAGCAGGGGCAGGCAGACATCACCCCCTTGCCCCTCTCCCTGCACCAGCTCCACTGGGAGAGCAAACTGGCAACCTTCCTGGGTGTGGCAGCCAGCTGCTGTAGGTCCCCAGCCCTGTAGGGACCCCAGCCCCCAAGGCACTCTCTGGGAGTGATACCTCACTGGGGTAGGAAGCTCAGTGGAATCGGCAGTTTCCTCCCGATTCCCTGCCCTCAAAACCCAGGCTGGGCTCACCAGCCATGGGGTTGAGGCCAGGGAGGGTGGCTGAGGAGGGCTAAGGAAGACTCAAGCCCCCCTGCCTCCTCCGCCTCCCCACCCACCCCACAGCAGGCCAGCTGTTCC